AGCTACTGCCAACATGGCAGCTCCAGCTAGGGAGCCTCCTGCGGCCCCACAGGCTGTTATTCTGGGCTCCCTCGCTTCGGGCTGTGAGCACAGCAAAGTAGCCCAGTTTCCAGTCTGTGCATCTGGCACTGGGCTCCTTGAAGGTAACTGCACACTTCGTAAAGCATCATCCTTGTGACCTCATCGTTAGCAGTATCTGAGATAACGAATTGCCTACTGGCAAACTTTCAGCAATAGGAGTTGTTATCTGGACGACAAGATGGATAGTGAGTTTCAAGAGAGTGTCGAATGTGCTAAACCTGAAACACCACTAGATATCGGGCTGGATAAATACCTTAAATGTATGTCATTCTGGGGCCCATTTCAGGGTGAGAGGTTAGTGCTGGAGAGGTGTTGTGGGATGGTCTTTTTCTACACTGTGAAGATGTGTCTTTGCAAGCTACCTCCTGATTAGTTTAAGAAAAAGCTAAACAGTCAACAGCCTGGACTTCTAGATGAAAGGAACTCTGGGAAAAAAAGTCAGAGTTGCCAGGAAGACTCCAAGGGAGAAAGACTCACAGTAGAGATAAAAGCCACGAGTCACTTAGCAACCTGTTGTATGCTGGTGGCAGAAAGAACAATCTTTCTAGGCAGATGAGTCAGCACATTCTGAGTGACCAGGACAACTGAGTCCTCGAGTGCCACTCTGAGAGCCTGGAAGTTAGAACAAGTTAACAAACACATGGACTTCCCCCAAAAGTAATAAGTTATATTACAAATTGAAGAGGAATGATTGTCATATGACCATTTTTGATATACTAGTCTCTTATATATGACTAAGGAAATAATTTGTCTTTAAACAAATCAGACAATGACATGACCTTATAAGAATATAGGTCAAGTGACACCCTCGTGCATAATGTTAATATATGTGTGTGTGTGTGTGTGTGTGTGCTGTTAAGTCTTTTCTTTGACTGACTGACAAGCCTCGTTGCGGATGCAATAAGCCAATCAGACCAAATCAAACCAAATTAAAAGAAACCCAGTTTTGATGGCTGCTGGCACTCCTGGTGACCCCTGAGAAAACACAGAGAGGGAAAGAGAACCAAAATGACCACTGGGGAGGGAATNAAAAAAAAAAAAAAAAAAAAAAAAAAAAGTTGGAGCAAAGGATTTCTAAGGTTAAGGAACCTTGATTGGCTGACATTTGTCTAGGGGTGTCCTGATGAAAAGCTATGGGTGTGTGCTGGAAGGTGATCCTATCTACAATGGTTGGAATGTTAGGAATTTCCTTTGGATGGTCTGTACCTGGGTGGTGCCTGGGTAGTCTCAGTTTGTCTTAGGGTAGACTACTAAGATTTCTGCCTCTACTGAGCTTATCCTGGCTGGGCCCTACAATTATAAACTAATTGCTTCATGAACATAGGGAAGTAGGTGTAATTGTTGCTGTGCCTGTCATTAGTGTTCGATCTGAGGTGAGCTGACATTCTTTCTATTCTCCATTGAAAAACCACAGAAAAGAGTGTCCCTTTAATTCCTGTGAGACAGCATATAAAGAAGTTGCTTTTTTGTTGTTTTTTTTGTTTTGTTTTGTTTTGTTTTGTTTTTTGAGACAGGGTTTTTCTGTAGCTTTGGAGATTGTCCTGGAACTCACTCTGTAGACCAGGCTGACCTCGAACTCACGAGATCTGCCTGCCTCTGCCTTCCGAGTCAGGGATTAAAAGCGTGCACCGCCACCACCCGGCACTGCTGTAATTGTTAGATAGATTAACTCTGAAATGGGCAGTCCTGTTCCTTTGCACTGAGCCTACAATTTCTATGAACGTCTTTACCTTGTGGAAGTGCAACTTCACTTGAAAGGCGAGATACCATTGCACAGGGTGGGCAAAAATCCAACGGAAGAAATCGCCAAACCCGGGTTCCTAAAATTTCTTCGCACAGATTTTTGGGAAATGTAATCCCTAAGACTGTGACGTCACAAGAAGCCGTCCAGGAAATCCCATTCCACCTTGAGTCTCCACACGTGGGTCTTCCTCAAAGTTGTGCGAGAGTCCTGCCTGCAGTACATTCCTGTTGCGTCTCCAACTTGGAGGTTGGTCGAGGGTGCAGCGCTGCCTGAGGCACTGTGCAGGGTGCCCAGCAGTCTTGGAGGAAGAGGACCTGGGCTGGCTGAAGAAGCTCAGGGAGTAGCTTGCCTTGGAGGTGCTGGGCTCAACTGGCTGGGACGCCTGAGGTTGCAGGTCAGAGCTGGGGAGAGGGCGACAGGGACTGTGTCCTGAGTGATGGTTTCCTTAGGACTCCGCGTGAAGCCCGAGTCAGCCTTGGCTTCTGGGACAGGAGAGCGGCCTGGGAGCGCCATGACAGTGCTGGGTCTAGGGTTGCAAGCTAAGGATGGTCAGCTGTCTGCCTGCTCCTAAGGGGGAGCTGGGAGCTCACTGAGCAGCTTTGGTGGGGAAGCCTGCTTCACATCTGGCCTATTCTATTATGGATGCTGTGAGATTTCTCAGTATCTGAAGAGTACACGGGAGTCTAACTGCTCCTGTACTCTGTAGCCGGCCTAGTGTAGCGGTCTTGAGGTCTTGATTATGTCCATTTTTTTCTGTCAGTTAAAGAATTAAGAGAGGGGAAATCCGAGGCCGAACAGGTAGCATGTGGAAAATTCTGGAACACAGCAGGTCTTCCAGAATTAGCTGCTACAGAAAAGTTTTGGCTAGGGGTAGGAGAACACACAAACAGCCCACGCACAGAGGGACCCTCTTGAGGAAGAAGGAACTGGAGAAGCTGACTCCAGGCCTCAACTCCTTTTCTTAAAGTCTTGAAGGCTCCCCCATCCCAAATGTAGGGCAGACTAACTGGAAAAACGACAGGATGTCTGCTTGGCCCACAATGGTTGTGTCAATGTCTTCTTCTGGCCTTGAGCTTGTTGAGCTGGTCCAGAAGCAGGAGCCCTAGGAACAGGTGAAAAGCTCTCATGGCCTTGTGTTACAGTGCCAGGCTTTTGTGTCAGGTCAGCAGGTGAGGAGAATTCTTAGACCTGTGTGTATTCCTGGGATTTTAGTAACCAGACCAGTGATAGAAAAGAAACCTCAGTCTCCTCTGAGGCACATCCCTGTCACCTCTGCGTTTGTGAGGGGGAGGCAGGGCCCTCTGGTAGCAAATTCAAGGCCAGCCTAGGCTACCTGAGTCTGTGATAGAAAACCCTTGAACACACTTTATGGACATGGAATACTTTATGGTTCCTTTCATGTAGTTGCAATGAGCACCGTTAAAAACCCATGCAGCCAGGACTTTGCTGACTTAAGAACTCCATGTGCTTAACTTCTCTTGACACAGTTCATGTGTAACTTGCACTAAGATATTTTATTTAAAGACATTAGATTTTAGGGATTACATACTTATTTGCATTTATCCTGTGAGCGAGTATTCACTTTGTGTTGTTTGAATATTTCTCCATTTTTTAACATATTTATTCCTTTTTTTGAGATTTATTTATATATATGTTTTGTTTGGTTGGTTGGTTGGTTTTTTGTTTTGTTTTGAGAACGGGTTTCTCTGTAGCTTTGGAGCATGTCCTGGAACTAGCTCTTGTAGGCCAGGCTGGCTTCTTATTTATATATTTGTATACTGTGTTCTGTCTGGACATATGTTCGCAGGACAGAAGAGGGCACCAGAACTCATTAAGTATGGTAGTGAGCCACCAGGTGCTTGCTG